ATACTCATATTTATCCTAGAGTAATTAAATTACTCTATTTAATTTGTTAAATATTCTTACCGACATATACCAAAAGAAGAGAATATATATGTAGAGAGAGAGGTAGAGAAAAAAGAAAGAGAAAAGAGAGTTGGGTAAATATCAAATCATAGCCTTTTTTGGATAGGCGAATTATAACACTGAATAATATTACAAAAAAGTAACCATTAATGGAGAGGAAAATGACCCCACATTTAGGGGGCTCGTCCCCTGTATATCACTGCACAAATCATAACCTTATACAATTGTGAGGGATATGAAGAAATTAATTAATTTGATTGGGATGTTTTTAAATCTCGTTTGGTAGGACCATTTTGCAACCAATCGTGTGCACACAAAAAAATAATAAATAAATAAAAACTCATAGAAAATGGTTTCATTTTAGAGAAAGGAGACAAGAACCATTAAATTATCTCAAATTCCTCCATTACCAAACAAATCTCCATGGCATTTGTCTCTGAGTTGTTGCCTTCCCTCTGGCTTTTAATTTGCTCTCCCCACATTACATTTTCATAGAAAATGTGGACTGGTCGGCACGTGACAAGCTACGGGAGAGACATGGTCTCTGCCTTATTTATGGTAGACAAACCAGATTTTTGGTAGCTGCATGTATGCTGTTGATTAGGAATTTGGAGGAAAGAAGCTGCTTCTCTCCTTGACTTCTCAACTCAAGTATACATAATAATAATTGTATGAAGTCTTGTTATGAGTTGTGATTAGCTCCATAAGTGATTAATTAAATTCAGTTATGGTATTTGTATCTTTGTCTTGGTTTGTTCGAAGATTAGGTACATCCGGATGATACTAAATTGTACGGTTCAAGTTAGGTTCGTTTCATATGGCATTAATTAGAGACAACAAATCTTTATTAGAAGTAGTGATTATGATATCGGTCAACGTGTTCATACCAAATGGATAGGAAATTGATATATTTAGGATGTTATTTTATAATAAAATCTTATAATACTAGACATCAAACAAAAAAATGCTAATTCACATATCTTACTGAATTAAATTAATTAGTTATAATTATTGTTACATTTACATATATATCATTAAGACTCTTTAGATAATATTATGGGAATCATTTTTCATTTTACATTTGTTAGAACAGTTGCTTTGGTGTTTAATTGAAATTATGTGTCAACTAATTGGTTTAGAGTTTCAATGATAGTAATAATTAGGGAAACATTGAGAATTAGCAATTAATAATCGCAAAAGACAGCTCGGA